TATATATATATATAAAATTACTTTTTGTGATGGCAAAGGTGAATTTTCAGCATCATTACTCCAGTCTTCAGTCACATGATCCTTTCTGAAACCATTATGATATGCTGATTTGGTTTTCAAGAAACATTTCTTGTTATCAGTGTTGGAAACAGTTGTGCTGCTTAATATTTTTGTGGAAACCGTGATACTTTTTTCAGGATTGTTTGTTTAAAAGAACAGCATTTTTTTATAGAAATCTTTTGTAACAGTCACATTTAAAACAGTAAAGATTTACATATATTTAATGCATACTTTCTGAATATTAATTAAAAAAAGGTAATTGATTTACTTATTTATTTCAGAAAGGGACAGTGTGCTTTAATCAACATTCATGAATGTAAATGTACCCAAGTTAGCCCGAAGGCTCATTTTCATTGGTAGTCCCTTTGCCAGATGTTATTAGGCATAAAGCTAAAAGGAAAAAAACAAAAACAACAATAATGTGACAAAATTATAAACGACAATATAAAATACAGTTGAATAGCAAATATAATACAATAAGTAAAAAAAAAAAAGAGAGAACGATAAAGTATTGATATGGGTTAAGAAAAAAATAAATAAAGATGATGATATAGAAGAAGCAACATCAGTGTTGATATTGTTGATTTTGAAATAGTACTGTGTGTTCCAAAGAGGTTTGAGCGTGACATGAATGTCTGAAACCATTATGATATGCTGATTTGGTTTTCAAGAAACATTTCTTGTTATCAGTGTTGGAAACAGTTGTGCTGCTTAATATTTTTGTGGAAACCGTGATACTTTTTTCAGGATTGTTTGTTTAAAAGAACAGCATTTTTTTATAGAAATCTTTTGTAACAGTCACATTTAAAACAGTAAAGATTTACATATATTTAATGCATACTTTCTGAATATTAATTAAAAAAAGGTAATTGATTTACTTATTTATTTCAGAAAGGGACAGTGTGCTTTAATCAACATTCATGAATGTAAATGTACCCAAGTTAGCCCGAAGGCTCATTTTCATTGGTAGTCCCTTTGCCAGATGTTATTAGGCATAAAGCTAAAAGGAAAAAAAAAATAACAACAATAATGTGACAAAATTATAAACGACAATATAAAATACAGTTGAATAGCAAATATAATACAATAAGTAAAAAAAAAAAAGAGAGAAAGATAAAGTATTGATATGGGTTAAGAAAAAAATAAATAAAGATGATGATATAGATGAAGCAACATCAGTGTTGATATTGTTGATTTTGAATTGCCTCAGACTTTTAAATAGTACTGTGTGTTCCAAAGAGGTTTGAGCGTGACATGAATGTAAGGAAATGGTGATAATTTTCTTTTTTGAGTGAACTGTCACTTTAAGAGGAAGATTCTGTACCTTCAGCATCTGCTTTGTTCCTCTTCACCCTCAAAACACAAGAGGGCTCAGCGGCGATGAGGATGTGATGGAGGGAAGCAGAGGGAGAGGTAGAAGTGCTAAACCATGTTACCCTAATCAAAGCGAAAGAGGATTTGAATGTGTTAGTATTTAACATTTGAAAGTTTCCTTGTGAACACACTACATATGTGACGAACTGATGTTGCGACCTTCTCAAAACACCTAAAAATGCTTTCATCTTTACCTCAGTGTTGTGCTTGCATCTCTACAAAGGGTGTTTTCGAAGTCAGGAATCCCTTTTCAAGGATGTATGGGGTCGGTAATCTCTCTGCAGACGAGTCAGCTCACATGCATACATAATCGCAGACAGTTCAGTGAGACGAGAGGCAGATGCTGGTGTCAGAAGGAGGGAAAGAGAGGAATAAGATCAGGTGAAGGAGAAAAAGGGAGGTTTGTGGTCAGGGCCAGACTTGAACAGCTTGAGTGGAAATGATGCTTGGAAAAGCGTACAGTATGTGTAGTCTGAAACAGAATGACTGTATAAACACCAACTCACTGACACAAACGCACAGCTGCTTACAAATAAAGCTTGCCTCTCTGTTTGTCTGTCTATTTTTTAGGATGCAATGAATAAAATTGGACACATAGTTTTGACATCAGATATACACAGTTTCTGATAGGTGTGGACGTTATGACCGAAATCACTGTACAAGTAATTTTATATCAAAGTAACTGTACAGTATTTGTCATGAAATAGTTATTTTTGCTTTAAATTTAACCTCAAAATTATTTATATATTACACAAGGTAGCAACATATTTTTGAATGCATATCAGTTGAATTATACAGTTGCACTGTTACCCAGCAACCGTAATCAACAGGGACTGGTGTGACATGTCAGAATGCACATGTATTTTCCATTATAATCAATGAAACTGTTTAGAGGTTAGAGTGCAGGATATTGTATGAAAATTGTTATTATTTACTTACCCTCATACTTTTATGGTGCTCTAGCATCTTTTTTGAAGCTTAAAGCCTTAGTCTCCATTCGTTGGAGTTGCATCAAATTGAGCGATTACAGTACAGTACAGTTCTTCAAAATTTCACGTTTCAAAAGTTTGGAGTCAAAGATTTTTTAATGACTTTGAAAGAAATCTCTTATGCTCACCAGGGCTGCATTTGTTTGATCAAAACAGTAAAAATAGTAATATTGTGAAATATTATTACAATTTAAAATAACTGGGTTCTATTTTAATGTAATTAAGATGTATATATACATCTATATATTTTGCTTTAAATTTAACCTCAAAATTATTTATATATTACACAAGGTAGCAACATATTTTTGAATGCATATCAGTTGAATCTATTATACGCACTGTTACCCAGCAACCGTAATCAACAGGGACTGGTGTGACATGTCAGAATGCACATGTATTTTCCATTATAATCAATGAAACTGTTTAGAGGTTAGAGTGCAGGATATTGTTTTCTGCTTGGTATCAATTAAAAAAAACAAAACTGCACTCTGGATAAACAACAGTATGAGTCTCTACCGGCTGACATATTTCTATCTCCACATGCTGTTTAGAGGTTAGAGTGCGGGATATTGTTTTCTGCTTGGTATCAATTAAAAAAAACAAAACTGCACTCTGGATAAACGACAGTATGAGTCTCTACCGGCTGACATATTTCTATCTCCACATGCTACTGTATATATTGTCCAGCCGTATTTTGTTTTCAAGAGAAGGGGAAAGGAAGGAATCGTGGTTTTTAACATCTGCTCCACTATAATAGCTGCTGTGTACACCTGCATCAGCGTGTGCTGATTTTGTTACAACTCTAAATGAGATGGCATAGAAAATTCAGCAATGCTGCATTAATGTGCTAATTAGCTTATTTGATGTGATTTTTTTTACACTATTTGATACTAGGCCACTGTCAAAACAAACAGACACTTTCTGTCATAATAGCTTTGATAGATTGAGACATCTCTGTCTGTCTGTCTGCCTATGTACAGACTGACTCAAATCTGTGTTATATCTGTCTGTGTTTTTTATTTGGGAAATATGTTTAAGGTGTCCGGTAGTGGGAAATGCTGTGCTTAATTGTCTCTTGCATTGGTGTGCAGTGGAGATGTGTTTTTTATTAAGAGTTGAAGTGAGAAGATACAGTGTGGTAATTTTCTAGTTAAAGTGTGTGTAAATTACGCACTGCTTGGTTTGATTAATCAGTGAATTCATTATGACCTGGATAAGCTCATTAGCATGAGCCTGATGCGGCGCTAGTAGTCAGGAATGCCGCTGTGTATTTATAGATGCAGGAAGTCACCTGGAATTATTGTTCCTCCCTTTTTTTCCATCTCGTCTCTCCTCTTTCTGTGTTGCGTGCCACTAACGAGTGAGTGATGAATGTCCACACATGGGTTTCACTCAGCGAGTTTGAGTGTTTGTCGCAGGTTCATTAATCAAATTCAGTGGAAGAGTAGCGTACACACACTAGTTTACACCCTCCTCCCTCATTAGTTTCTGTGTTTAGATTTACACACAGTTCAGTCATACTTGAGTCCAGACAGCACAGAGCTGCTCATTAAAGTGATGAGTTTGACTTAAAGTAGTGATCCTATTTCTGAGGCTGAAGATGAAGACTTGTGATTGTAGACAGACAGATAGACAGACAGAATTCCAGTGATTTATTCACCAGCCTAGGAAATATATTTCCCATTCATTTTCTCCATAAAAATCTTCAATAATCTTTAACTCTTTAATCTTCAATAATAACACTTGGGCCATATGATTTATGAATCATGATATCACAACATTATCATGAGGCCTTTTTGATCATGTTTTGTATTAATTTGAAATTAATAAGTAACATTTTTATAATATATATTTTTTTAAATAATGAAATTACAGAAATTGCATTTACGACAGCCACCAGTCAATCTCATCAGGCAGAACAACCATCTGTATCGAGCAGTTCTGTAAATTGGTAAAAAAAAAAAAAAAAAAGGAAAATATAATTCATCCATATGTGAAAAAAAG